GAAAGATAATGGTTTGCATACTGCTAACTGGTAGCTCTGCCCAAAATTAGATGTTTTCTGTTGTAAACAAGGTTAAACTGACAAAGAAGTTGGATTTTGTTAGAATCTTAGGGTCTTGTTACATGCATTTTAGGTCAGATACTGTTTGCTATGAGAGAACAGTGGTTTATTGTAGAGTTGTCAGTCTAAATTAAATTACGACTTTTGAGAAACTAACTTGAAAACTTAAAGCAGTCATATGATATTATGCATTACATCTTCAGCCCATTAAGGAATCCTAAAGTAAGGTAACCAAAGACAGAAAACACTGGTTCAAATTTCAAGCCACAATAAGTGTGAATATACTCTCAATTTAATAAAATATATAATGCAACTTCCTGAGGCTTAAATTTCTTACAATTGCACTTGGAATGGGCACTTGTTTTCCCATTATTGGCCACTTTAATCTGCTTATACCCTAGTTGTCTCATTTAAAGATCACTTTATAGTACTGGGTGATGTACATCTGAGGTCCATGTTCCACTATTGCCTGACGCAACACAACAGTTTACAAATTTCTGAACTTGATCTGAAAGCTGATTTAAAAATCTATACAGACAATCAGATTTCCTTGAAAATATATACACACAAGTCTGCTGTGAGGTGGCTAAAATGAAGTAAATTTAGTTTCAGGAGACAGGAAGAAAGCCAAGGCTGAAAAGTAAAGATCTAGAAGCAAATGGGCACTAGCACTGACCAAGTTTGAAACCCATCCCTCCCCAGAGAAAATTAGAAGAGGGCAAGGAAGACAGGCTTTGGAAAAGTAGAATGTTTGTGCTTTTCTTTCCAGCAGACTGCATTAAATATTCAGCAAAAGGCGGGGATCAGTTTACATTACTCTTCTTGTTTCTCATGTATCGGCTGACAGGTGCTGTAAACATACATAGACAAACATGGTCCTATTCTTGCAATGCTCCAATAACGGAGGGCAGAAATACTTTGTTTTTCCTTTAGCAGCAACATTTTGATACTTGCAGCCATAATACATTAAGATCAGGTTTGCATACACTGCAAAAATTAAAACTTTTTTTTCCCTATTATATAATAAAAGACTTAATTCTTAGACATCCAGAGCAGGGAGATGCTTTGTAGTTGATTTGAAAGTGTATTTGTGTGGTTTTATTAAGAACATATTAAATAATCATTTCAGCTAAACTCCTCCCTGGTATGTAATGACAATTAAAAATAATATAAACATCTCAGGTTAACCTCTAGGTTTTAAAGCTTAAGGAGAAGCATATACCAGTGTGAAACAACTGACCTTGGCTAAAAGATGGAAACTAGTATTTAAAACATTCACTCATTCATGTTTAAGAGATGTAATGGTAAATAAATAATGACTGTTTACACTTAGTCCTAAATGTCTTCTTTTTCCACACTATAGGCAGCTATTTGGCTGAGATGGTATCATTCACTGATCTAATCACACTGTACCTTTTTTCGCACTTGAATTGTACTTTTGGCTGTCACTTGCTCTTTTGAACAAAGGTTTATACTATTAAAGGATATCATAATAGCATATCTTTTTTTACCAAATTGATATTCAAATCAATAACGATAAGGGCAGTCTTCTCTTTGTACCTAGGAAAATGTACCATCTGCATTTGGCTTCTGATATTCTGCTGTGAGCAAAATTTAAGCATAAGGAAGTGTTTAAGACTCCCCTTAAGTTAAACTGCAATTCTAAGTATTTTATAATCTTCACAACAGTCAGAGCCAGTAAAATCGACCCTGTATATTTTTATTTCATCTCTGCTGGATCATATGATATTTAATAATTGGTTCTGGCACCTCATTGCAAATTATTATAAGTTTGAGATTCAACAGTTTTATTGAACATATGGGCAGCACAGTCTCAGAACATATATATGATACAGACTATCAAGAGGACCTTCTGTCATGTTTTGGTGAGCTTTAAAGGGTCAGGTAAATTTTGTTGGGTAGATTTGTGCTGTGTTTCCACATTCTTTGTTTTGTTTTTATTTAGTGGGCTACTTTTTTTTTCCTTGTGTTAAAACTCTTTCCTGTAAAGACTGAGTTCATCCACAATTGCATTTGTTGATATTGATGTGTGCACTATTCTGTCAGGCTTCTATGCAGTATTGAAAAGCAGTGGCTGGAATGGCCAGGAAAGACAATGGTTGGACCTTAGTGAATGACTTTCCTGTCACATGGTACCATATTGTTTCAGTATTTGGCTCAGTTAACACTACATAAAGTTGCTGGTTACAGAAAAACTCATCACATCAATAAAAATGAACATACTTGAGAAGCCTCATTATTGATAGTGTACTTGATGGAAATTTGATAACAAAATTAAAAAGATTTTTTAAGAAAACTATACATTGCAGTATATTTATATCTGGGAAAATATTGTACCTTCTTCAACATAACTTCTTAAAGCAATGCTATTTTGGTGCAGCTCTGGCTTCTGCATTCATACCTAATCTGATTTTAATCTATGAGTCTGCATCATTTGCTTTATTAGACTATACAAGAATAGAAGCAATTGTGCGTTCCCTGAATACGTAAATGTCCCATATATTTCAGTGGGAAATGTGTGTGTGAAAGTAATAATATCCAGCCATTATGTAGATTATACGCAAATAATTGCATAACAAGTTGTACTGAAAAATAAATAGAGATGGCTTGCTGACACATGTATGTGCGTGTGTGTGTATATCTTAAAAAAGAAGCCTAATTTACAAAAACTGCTTTATTTCATCTTAATTCTGCTAAAAAGCTAACCACTTTTTCACAGTATTTTCTCCTCTACTGCCTTTTCAAGGTTGTGAAGGTGAAGAATTAGAAGCTTAATCAGCATTTACATGTTTCTCATGCTTACTTTTACCAAGCCATGCTGTGTTTTTATTAATGGGGTTTTAAAATCTTTTTCTATAAATTCATTACTAGGTATGATATATGTAGGGAATATCAAAAGAAAAACACCCCATGGTTTTTGGACCATTTTGATTTTATTGGCACACATTAAATTGATTTTTACAGCTAAGGTTGGGAAATATTAGTTAAGATTATCATCTGTGAAAATAAATTTTGTGAATTCTGCTAATTAATTTGAAGAGCATTATAAAGGTTTAGGCATACCTGATTCCTTCCACAGAAGGTGTAGAAATACTAGAATTACTGGGGACCAGAATGATTGCACTTTTAGGCAGCAAAGCTCTTCCTAGAACATTAACTGGTTTTGTGATTACTTGCCTGGCATAATTTGAACCAGTAGGTGGAGTCCTTGCTAATAATAATTGCATGAACAAATCTTGTTAGTATACACGAAGGGCAAGATATTTTTCATATAATAAACTGCTAAAATCATATTTGCTTTAGGCTTCTTGTATTGGTATAATTAGCTAGAAATAGCAATAAAAGGGCAGAGATAAAATATGCATAGACCTATAGCTATCTTTCAGAAAACAGAAGAAAACACAGTTTGAAAGAGCCAAATATTCTTCAGAAGATGTCTTTTGGAAAAAATACTGAGCATAACTTGATAACTAGAAAGCTGATTGCGTTGTTGATCTGGCTTATTGCTGTTGCTATTTTGTTATTTTTAAATCAAGATAGTTTTTCAAGCACATCTCAAATTCCAAAGATTAAAAATCTTCCATGATATAGTTTCACTGAAATCCAAGGTTTTACATACCAATCGATGCATAGGACTGTCATTTTAATCTAGAAATTCCCATTTTAGAGCAGTCTATGGGTACCTGAAAAGTATCAAAAATTTTGGTAGCAAAGCTGTCTAAAAGCTTGTACTTTTGAGTACATGCCAAAAAAAAAAAAAAAAAAAAAAAAAAAAAAAAAAAAAAAAAAAAAAAAAAAAAAAAAAAAAAAAAAAAAAAAAAAAAAAAAAAAAAAAGAAACCTTTTAAAGCACCTAATGGCAAAGGCAATCTAAATTTATTTATCATAGGCAAATGGCCTCCCCTTTAGGTAACTGATGTCTATTCACATTTTTTTTACTCTCCAATTCAAGACCTATTACAACGTTAATGGAAAAGTTTTGCAGAGAATGAAAATGTATCACAAAAATCATGTGCAGTGATGCAAAGTACCTATAACCTCTCACAAGAAAAAAAAAAAATCATATATTCTTCTGAGTTTTTTCAGTAAAAAAGTGAAACAAGCAAACAAAATTGAACATATATGTCCTATATGGATGATTGGTCTAAATTCTAGAAGACTACATATATTTATAGCCCCTTGATCCTTTTTGAAAGAAAAATCTGCCCACTTTCCTCTTTTGTTAAATGCAGGACTTCACATTGTAACTCTGGGAAATGGTTTAGCTCTGAGGACTGAAGGGGAGGATGTTAACTGAAGGCTAGCACAGTCTGAGATCTGAGGTCCAGGTAAAGGCAATATTCAATGGTCACCTTCCCTTTTTCATTTACCCAGTGACTACTTTAAAGGTCTTTCTTCTCTCACGTGCATGCCATTGTTAGGTATAGAAATCTAGTATTATGATGAGGGCATCTCCTGTAGTGATAGTAGGGCCAGATAAAAAATTAGCAAGTTCTTATGTGAAGAAGGGATCTTCACTTGCAGATGCCTACAGTTAGAGCTGATTATTTCTTCTGACCTCTGGAAGATTCCTCATATTTTGCCTTCAAAGTTCTTGATGTACTTATTCATACCTGTCTAGGAATGGATTCATGTTTTTGTGAGGATAGCACCTAACTTCCACCAAAATGAAAGTGGCTATAAATAAGGCATTCCTTTACCCAAGTGCCTGAAAGCTATTCAACAACTAATCCTCTAAGTCTCATTATATGTACCAAAAACCGTAATCCTCACAAAGTGAAATGCATCTGCTACAGTTTTCTAAAAGACAAAATGGTGTCCCTCTTTTATATAATTGCCTTTCCTGTGAAATACAAGAAAGAAATTCCTTTTCCACCATTGCCTATGGGTGACTAATCCTACATTTCCTTTTTTTTCAAGATGGCCTACAGAATGGCTCCTTTCCACTGAAGTTTTGAGAAGAGAAAACCATAAGAAAACAGTACTAAGCAAGCTGTTGGACTGCTAACTTGTGAGTTCTAATTCCTTGATTCAAGTCCTCCTTATGTATTTCAAGTTAAATCTAAACTACCATATAAAAACTTCAGCCTAGGTGTTTTTACATTAACTTTGGGAATTGTTAGAATTGCAAGGGAAAACATAAGGAGAAAAAAACACCATAAAATAGTCACAATACAGTAAAAAATTATTTCTAGTTTACATAGATGATGCATGTTCTGGTGCACAGAAAAATGGAACAAAGAAAAAAGCTTATTTTATTCTGCAAACATTTTAAGTGAAGAAGGAGACTGATGCTTTCAATCTGCTTAGACACTTTTCCCTCAATTGACATATGAGGGCCTACAATAGTGAAACGTGTTGGTCCAAAATTCATTCTTAGCTTTGCATTGTCAACTCTTGTGTACCTTTCAGATACCTCTTGGTATCTGCTCTAAAAGAACATAGAATAATTGTCATTGGTTATGCTCAATTAAGACAGAAGACTAAATCATGGTGCAAAAGAATGAATTTTCTCCTTTGTACCAAAAACAGATTTCTCAAAGAGCTGACTGAGGAAATATTGAGATTGTCTTACCACAAATCACATCTTTAGTTCTATTATCTAAATTGATGTACTTCCACTCTCATATTATTCAAGCCCATTACTGTTTTTTCCAGGTCTATTATCTTGTGGTTTATCATATGCAGAACAGCATTTATAGAGACATATTTTTACTATTTGAATCTTGAAAAACAGTTCTGTGAGTTTGCCCCTCACTGGAACAAATGGATAAACTAGATTATCCATCTTGAAAGACTGGAACCTAGCTGTGAAAGATACACTAGGACAGATACTTTCTGTTGGAAAGTAGACTTAAGTACAGTTCATTATAATTTGATTGGATTTTGTGGCCATTAAATATTTTTACAGGTTTAATATTTTTTAGCAGCCATAGACACCTAATTATAGGACATCTTACCTGAGTATCTCATTAATTTCTCAGCACTGTACAAAGACTACATATCAACATATATTTTCCATACTGTACACGTATATTTTAACATGTTAATGTTAAATTAGGAGGGGATCATAAAAACTCAGGTCAAGTTCTGAATTTTCTGAGTCAATATCTGATCATAAACAGATTTTATTTGGATGTGACTTTTAGCCTACTGTTTCAGGAATGCTGATAGCCATGAGGTTCCAAATTTAAGTCCCTAGATAATTTCCTTGCCAGCTGAGAAAAAAAAATCATTCAGAAAAAAATACATTTCACTTGATATGCCAATAAATATGGGTAGGTTTACTTTTTAGAATTTCCACAACTGTTATTTAAAGGTCATTGCACAAAGAACCTATTTAATAAGTTATCGAAAATCTACCTAAAGAATTATTCAGGAGTGACATACAAGATGCCATAACACATCAATGCAGTATCAATATTACTTTCCCAGAAATTCTTAAGATGTACGTTAACTAAAGCAGCAGCTTTCTTGGAAGAAGCCTACCTTGGCTTGCAACCATACAGAGACGTGGCCAGGCAACTCTGTCACAAAGCATCCACAGCAATTTTCTCTACTCAAAACTTGTTTCTTCAAATCTTTACCTAATCTTCTGCCTGAATATCCAAGAAGTGAGGCTGGCATTTTTTGTTTACCACACTACAGTCGTACTTCCATTTAGAACAGGTTGTGCCATTCTTGCACAGGTGTGCATTTGAAAAAAAGAAAACTGGTTAACCCACAGAGTAATCTCATGTGAGTCCTTTACACCCTTCCCTTGCCTGTGCCAATGCTTAGCTGTCTGTATTCAGCTGTGTGTTGGACTGCTCCAGTGCTCTGTTCCACGAATCATGACAAGGTGATGACTGTCATGATACCTGGTTTGATGGCTTTGGAACAAAGAACTGTACACCAGAAACCCTCCACATGTATCATATAACATAGTAAAAGTGAATATTTTTCTGATTTTTTCCCATTCCAAAAATCAAAACAATTAGATCATAAGTACAGATTCCTTCATAAAAAAACCTACCAGTCTCATTTAGTCATTGAAATTTATTAATGAAATGGCAAGCACAGGCTGAGTGGCTTAGATCCTGCTAAAGTCTTAGGTCCATGAAGCTAAGCATCATTTTCAGGAAGGAATGAAGCTTCAGTTTTGCTGTGGCTCCCAACATCACCTCAGTTTCTAGTGTGCTCCAATAGCTTTGCCAATATGCACCTGAGAGGTCTTTTCTGGTTAAACATATTCCTTAGTCCTCTACCCCTCCCCCCACTATTTATCTCTTTTTATTCCGCATGTGTCATTGCTTATGTACACACTTAACATATTTTTATTCCTCTCATTTGAAAAAAAATATTTTGAGTTCACTTGCTTTTTTGTCAGTTGTCATTCATTTTACCTTGTTTTGCTTGCTTCAGTATGTTACTTCCCCTTATATTGTGAACTATGTCATCTGTGCCAATGTACATCCCTTGATAGTGAGTATGCAGTAGACTTTACTGAGAAATAGAAAAGAGAAGTGTTAGCCACTGCTCTCACCAAGATTATATTCTCTCTTAATAGAAGCTGTTGATAGATCCTGTGAGGCTACAACACTTAGGGTGTTGACTTGTGGAATGAAATCCTCTACACACAAGCACAGCAAAATATTTTGGTGAAAAGTAATTATCAGAAATAGTGACACGAGTAAATTAGTTAACTACATTTCAGCAGGAAGCTTGAGTTACCCCTGCCCGTTCTTGTTCCAGACCCATCTAAAATCAGCAGTTCAGCTTAATGATGTCACAACATTTGCCAGGCTGTGGGCACTGAAGGGAAGACGTGAAAATACTCCCACTGAATCAGATCCTCTCCTCTCACTAAGCGCAGTTAAACAGCCCATCTGTCTCACATTGGAACTGATATCTTTGAAACATCATTCTATTATTACCACTGTGGTTCTAAAAAACTATCCTTAATTTTAGACATCATACAAGCAAGTTTTTAAATTCTCTGGATATTGTTAACCCAGATCTGAAACACTGACACTGAACAATGCTAGCAAGCTCCTCTTAGTAGGATATGGCTCAAGAACTGTGCATCACCATTTACTTACCGACGGTAACCTTTTGTGAAATACAGATATCCTAAATTTAAAAAAAAAAATCACAACAAAGAATCCGACCCCTCCCTAATCTCTAATAATTTTGAAAGTGTGAATTGAAGAGGACTGAGAGACAGATGGGTCTGGATGATCAAGTTACCTGTTATAGCGGCACATCTGCCAGGGCAGTCAATCACTGTGATGTCTCTGACAGGTCGATGGAGACTGAGTACGAAAGGCTAAAGCTGCACTTGAATTTGCTCTGGTGAAAAAAAACCTGTCTGTAGCACACAGATCCTTGGAAAAAGACTTCAGTCACAATAAAAAAATCATAGTGCATTGAGCAAGCACAATTGTGAAATAGATCCATTCTTGATTTTGTTTGGGGCTTTTCTACTTCAGGAATCAATCAAAAATGGAAAAAAAAGATGGAATAATATAAATATATTTTGGTAAAATCATTTCACAACAAGGGAGATGATAAATATGAATCACCAGAATAGAAAGAAAGGTTAAGACTGTCAAGTAACAAAACTAAATAAACTGTGGCACTGGAGTAGTTTATTTTTTCTGAATCTATGATTACATTAATTTGCATTAACCATGATGTCTTTCTTCTGTGTTTTCCAGTGTATTTATTTTCAGAGCTGCTGCTCTATATGCTAAGGTTAATTGTCCTGAAAAAAGCTTACACTAGGAAGTACTGTGTACCAAGAAGGTTTTTCACAGTTACAAATAACTTTTAGATTTTTGTTACATATTGCATATGTGTTAAAATTAGTATAGTGCTAATTGGATTGCTATTTTACCACATTTGCACCAATATGATTTCTACTTCTTGGACAACAGAGCTCAGAATAGTGTAAATATAAGGCTAGAGAAAGTGCTCCAGGATACAGCAAAACCCCTTATAAGCTCCAACAGTTTTGACTCTTAGAGAAATTATGTTATTTTATTCAATGGAGGTCATACAAACTCCTAGAATAGGGAGAAAACACCAAAAGATATAATTCAAATACACTTTTTACAAATATAGTATACATTTAGTTTTCAAACATTTTCACGACTGTCATGATGAACAAGCTATTACTTGGAAGACAATAACGGAATGTCAAAAAAGCCTTTCATAGCTCTAAACTACAATAAATACCTATGGAATACTAATGTAATATGGTTTCACTTATTATTAGTCTGGCACCCATTTTTTAGTAATCTTCATCAGACTATTGCTATGATAAGTGCTTTCTCTAGAAATGTAGTTTCCTGGCACAAACACAATTCTATTTTAGAATGTTTAGTTCAAGATGTCTGAAAATAAAATTAGTCTTATTTGTGGGCTTCTAATACTCTCATCAAATATATTTGACATTTTCTGGCATGGCACAGGCCTGAACCATCACTGTTTCTGAAAGAAATATACTTGTTGATTATCAACATTGTGTAAACTGAAAAATACTATATTAATATGTATATTGTAGAAACTTAAGATGCTGAACTAGAATAAATGTGATTTAGATCAGGTTGAGGTTTTGAATTTGTGCAAAGTATAAAAGAAGCCTCACTAAAGAAAACAGCATCCACAGCTGAATTTAAGGAGCTTTGAACTAAACTAACAATATGTTAGTCTTTTATATATGTTGCCTGCACAAGAGCATTCCTAACAAATTAAATATGCTCAGTGGAACTACCACTCTTGGTAAAGATACTCACAAAGCTGCTTGCAGGTGTGCCTTTAGTTTTAGTTCTGTTAAAAGAGAGCATAATACCTCAAGAAAATCATGAGAAGAGAATATCCAGTTAGGACCATATAATACTAAGGTAGGGTGATGCTGAATATCATAAGAAAAGTTGTAAGACAAATAAATGTTTTTCCAAATGAAGCAGAAATTCATGTCTTGCTAGAAAATGGGTAATAATAACAATAAGCTTGTTGACATCCAAA